GCCACCACCACCCACCAAGCACCGTACACCACCAACGGCGGCACCCCCCTCACACACTGCAGCACCCCCCCGAGCTCGCACCCCCCACACAATTGGAAAGCCAATCCCAATGCAGAGGCAGCACAACCCCGCCCCAACCCCCCCTGACACGGTCAATGCCAAAACACAGCACGAGCACCACCATTGGCACATGGTATTCAACCACATCAGACCATCCACGCTCCAGCAAATGGCAAAACGGAAACTCATACCAAACCTTCCCAAAGCCCTAGCCAAGACACCCCCCATAATAACATGCACAAGCTGTGCCAAAGCGAAACTACACCCTGCCCGTCACCGTCGAAAGCAACACCGATACAAGACGGGAGAAGCCCTAAGCAGCGATATATGTGGCCCATTCCCCACACCATCAAGACATGGCAACCAATACTTTATGACCGTCATAGACACCAACTCCAGGTACCTCATTATCACGTTCCTCCAAAAACGCGACCAAGCCCCAGATCACCTCGACAATGTCCTGTCACACCTGAACAAAGGACAGTACCCAAAACCACGTAAATTACACACTGATAATGCAAAAGAGTACCTAGCCAGCCACACCAAAGAAGTGTACAAAGCCAACGGCGTACAGCATACCACCACGGTCCCCTACACGCCCCAAGAAAATGGAATAGCAGAAAAAGTAAATCGCACAATCATGAACGCAGCAAGGGCGTCACTCCACCACAGCGGCCTGCTGGACTACCACTGGAAAGACGCAATAAAAGACGCGGCATTCAAATACAACCACACTCTCCACCTTGGCACCGGAGAAATCCCAACCTCCGTATGGCATGGCCACAAACCGGCTGTACCACAATACATGATCTTTGGACAATTGGGACATGTCCCGAACATCACCAGCAAAACACTGGTACGCAAGCTCCACGCACGAGCACTTACGGTGCGATACCTCTACGCCACAGACCCCCAACACGTCATGGTCATCAACACACATGATGGCAAGACACGACGCATCCGAACCGTTGATTTCAAGGCATATCACAAAGAGTTAGACCCCACACACAACGTCCACGTCCTCTTTAAAACATTCACACCCCAGCCAACACCAAAAGAAATCAACGCAACATCCCCGGCCCCCATGCATCACGGCCAGGCACGAAACTAACCGGATGCACACATGTGGGAAAAGGCCCACAACAAAGAGCTCGACAACCCGGACAACAACAAAGTGGTACTATGGCTACCCCCAACACAAATCCCCAAACAGACAAAACCAATACCGCTGACAATGGGGTATCGATACAAAAGAAACGAACAAGGGGAGATCACCGAAAGAAAGGCACGATGCTCAGCGAGAGGGGACAAAATGATACCGCACGTGCACTTTGACCCTTAGAAAACGACAACATACATGGCAGACAAAACAACTGTCCGCCTCCTCTTCGCATTGGCGGCATCATTCAACATGCACATTGAGCATATTGACATTAAAGCAGCCTACCTCCATGAGAAGTTCGACCACTCAGGACGCGAACCAGTATACGTCCGCCAACACCCGAGGTTTGACGGGTCATTCAAACATCAACACAAAGTGGGAAAGCTCAACAAAAATATCTACGGCACCCCAGGAGCAGGACAGACATACCTCAGTGCGGTCTTCAAGCTCTTACGCCAGCACAAATGCTCCCAATCGGAAGCAGATATGTGCCTGTTTCACCGACGCACACCCCACCACATAATCATAATCATAATATCCGTCAGCATGGACGACTTCACGGTAATCAGCACGTCCAAACAGCTCCAAAAAAATTTCGCAGCCATCCTCACCACGGCATACAACATCAAACAACTCGGAGAACCAGCACAACTCCTAGGATGGACAATCAAAAAATTCCCAGACGGAGCGATCCACGCGTCACAACCCAACGCCATACAGTACGTGGTCAAAAAGGCAGAAATGGACATGTGCAACAGCAAACCCACGCCATACAACAGCAACACGGCACTCCATGGACCAACAGAGGATGACGAACCAATGCCAAAAATAACGAAGATATATCAGCAGCTGCTAGGAGACATAATATACATAGCAGATTCAACCCGACCAGATATATACTTCGTGGCAAATAGGTTATCAGTCGCAGCAAAATGCCCCACCACCCGGCACTGGAACGCCCTCAAAAGGCTAATCCGATACCTCAAGCACACACAGTACCATGGATTACTCTACAAAGCCGGAAAACACAACGCGAACACAACTGCTCTCCCCAGCCTTCTCGAAACGTACAGCGACGCAGATTTTGCCGCAGATGTAACCAACAGGAAATCCATATCTAGAATGGTACATCTATACAACGAAACGCCAATATGCTGGGGATCCATGAAGCAAAAAATCACAGCCCTATCAACATGTGAGGCTGAATACATAGCTGCCACAGCAGCAGCTCAACAGACGACATGGATACGAAGACTCCTCAAAGACATTGACATGCTCCCCCCAGGACCAACACCGTTCCATATCGACAACCAATCGGCCATACGTGTAGCAAAAAACAGTGGCCCCACGAAACGCCGAAAGCTCATCGACCTCCGCCACCACTATCTCGCACACCAAACGAGACAAAAAGCGATTCACATCAAACATGTCCCCACCAATGACATGCTCGCAGACATCCTCACAAAGCCACTCACACCCACGCCATTCACCAAAATAACAAAGCAGCTAAAAGTCTGCACCCCCACCCTCCCTGCCCCATGCAAAAAGCACACGCGGCATCGCGCCACAGCGACGGGGGGAGTGTGATGATACCCATAACAGCGCAGTCGCTGCGGCGCTCATGCCCACCGGTGATGATACCCATACACGTGGACACATACCACACATAACACACGCACCACGATCCACCGACGACGAAGTGAGACCGCTAGACTTAGTGTAGAGGAAGACAGATCACGAGTAAAGACGAGGCCATCGTTCCTGCACCACAGCGTTAATAAGACAACGCAGGTCACCGAAACCTCTTTCGCTCATCGACACGTCGACGTTGTCAACAAGATTGTCCGACACGTCCATCAGACCCCTACACGCGGCCTCCTGCAGCGCAAACTAGATCCGGACACCCTCCATCTCCGAGTCTACCCCGATGATTCGTTCGCCGGTAACGAGGATCTCTCCACGCAATTGGGTTATCTCGTATTACTCTGCGACGCTCACAGTCACTGCAACGTATTAAACTACAGCAGTCACACAAGAGTAGGAGAGTGTTCAGGTCAGTCATGGGAGGCGAATTCTACGCATTAGCTGATGGAATGTATTTAGCGTTAACACTATGTCCCGATTTGGAGCAGATGGCGAACAAGGTTCTATCGTTAAAGATGTTTACTGACTCTCTCAGCTTCTTCGATGTAGTTACGAAGAACACAACCACCACGGAAAAACGCCTGATGATCGACGTCCACGCTGTCCGTGAGTCGTACGAGCGAATGGAAATCAGCGACGTCGCCTGGATACCATCTACATCTAATCCCACGGATGCACTGACCAAGCTCAAGCCCGAAGCTGTATTAGACCGCATCCTCGACGAAGGTATCGTCGAGAATGACGGAAAATGGATCCCTCGCACCCAACCGCAAAGTGACGCAACTTTCACCTCTTTAAAAGGGGGACTGTAGAGGATACCCGGACACGGCAACCGAAAAGGATACCCCGGACACGGGGGACAAGAGTGACACGGGGGACAAGTGTACAGGTTAGTGAAAGGTCGCGTCCTTTAATACTTTAGTGTCGGTGGGAATCCATAGAGGATAGAACAGTAGTTAACCGCAGCTCCTCGACTCTGTGGAGAGAGAGACAGAGGTAGAGATGTCTCGAGAGTTTCATCCACAAGGTAAAGGCAATCGCCACTGCAACACCTTGGACGCTCTCACCTTTGGCTCGGCGTTGAGCCCGTCTCGACTCCCGGGGTCGAAACGTTGAGCTCCTGCCAATCGGCAAAGCCAATCGGCACACTACAAGTGTGTTTCCACCACATTAATGAAGGTGAGAGCGTCCAAGGTGTTGCAGTGGCGACGAGTGATGGGCAACTTCCAGCCTTGGGCTCGACTGTGTAGAACGTTGTCTACATTGTCAGCGACTAACTTTTCGGGGTCCAGGACGTCAATACCCAGGAGGAGGGGTATCGACGCATCTAAAACGTCAGCGAATGCAACCCGATGTTGGATGCTTCAGCTGGAAGCTGAAGACTGTAGCGGATAGAGCCGATGGATACTTAAGGTAGCTTTGTTCTAGACGGTGTAGTTTGTAGACACAGAAGGTCAACATTCACATCAGCTTTAAGGTTCAGAAGGAACAACACAACGGCGGCAATGCCTCACCTATTAGCAGGCTCAACATGATGCTTTGACATCTCATGATGCTTTGACATCTTTGGCGCAAGCCTTGAGTCCTACTGTTGCTAGAACATGGTCTTCTCGAAGTGTTCCACAACACTTACGAATGTAGAAACACTGTACTCGCCAAATAAAGGGTCAATTTATTTGGCGAGTACAGTGTTTCTACATGGAATGCTGCAATTTTGCCGGTTTGGAAGGACCAGATCCAATCTGAATTCACGAAATGGAGGTTTTTGATTGGCTGAGGACAAAAGAGAGCGGACTTGTGCAGCATCATTTCCATTTGGAAACCGCCAATTGGCGTCCAGAAGGGTGCATCATGGACCTGTCATGCCACAGTTCCTTTGAGAGGCCATTTTGTCTCACAAGCCCAAGCCCGCACATTCGATCCAACCTCCGCTTCCAGCGCTGAGCGATGCCTCAAAGAAGCAGCAAAACTATCCCGCAAGGCTGAGCTACACGCTCAATCTGTCGTTGCCGTACCTGCGAAAGCGCCGTTTACCAAAATGTACATCGATACCTCATCTCCACACATCTAGCCTTTCACGGGAAGTGGCCTCATCTAACCAATAACTTAATTCACAAAAAAACAGCAACACCGCTCATGACGACGTCTCCGAGTCTCGTCTCACCATCTCATTCCACATATCCTTCAGCGCCTCAACTGAGATCGTACTCGTTCCATCCACCCGTCCCTCCGGTCCATCTTCCAAGCTCCCATCCTCATTCAGCAAGCTCGAACTCGTCTCCCTCTCACCTCCCAGCCACCGCACCGACAGCCTGTCGGGACCACCGCCCATCGACCCCTCCGCCCTCACACTCCATAGCTCCGTGCTGATAGACAACGACCTATCTCCGTCAGTTGCCCGCCGCCCGGTATCCTGTGACGAAATTGCAGCGGAGCTCGACGGCGCCTTTGTCGTCAGCGAGCTGCTCACCTGTGTAGTATCTGTCATGGTCCCCTCTGCGATGACGGAATCTATCTCCGGCGCGGGCGCCGCGAAAGATCGATCGTCGTTTTCGTCGTAGCTGGATGCGTCCCCGCTATTACGTGGTTCCAGCTTTTCGAAAGAGCGAAGCTGAGTCTTCCGACTGCCCCGCAACGACGGTTCAGACCCCAGTCCGTCGCGACGGTCTTCTGTGAAGCGACCCGATCCAGACTTGAAGTTGAAAGCCATATCCTTTGGCTCGTCGTCGTCCGAGCTTGAAGATAGACTGTAGTTCTCCGAAAAGTAGTCGATTCCCATTGAGCCTTGTCGCGCCAAATCGTCATCACTTATTGAATTCGCAGATCCGCCACGGCCAGAGATAACGCGTCCTATCCTGGTGTTCGACTATCCTGGTGTTCGACCTGTTGGCAAGCGCGGCTAGTGTCAGAGCAGGACCGGACCCGACTCTCGCAGCTGAAGATGGCTGAGTACTTGACTCGCCTGCGCTCGCAGCCGTGCTAGCTGCAATAGCTTTTCGAGTCACGAGTCGTAGTCGAGGAATCGGTGGTTCCGCTTCTGTCGATCTATTGCTTGAAGTTTTTGTGAGAGCGCCGGCAGAGAACTTTCTTCGCAGCGCTTCTAATACTTTTGGTCGTTTTGTAGTAGCAAGAGCTTGCAGAGCCGAAGAGTCAATGACAGTCTCCTCAGCGACGTGTTCGGACTCGGCATCGATTGACGCAAAGGCTGCCAGCAGCGTATCGGCCTTGGCAAAATTGGTACCGCCATCGCCACCTCCGCCTCCCAAAAGGGAAGATAACGCACCTTGGCCACCGCATGAAGAGCTTCTCGACAAGAGTCTACTCGAGTTTGTCCTCGTCAACGGGACTGTGCCCGGTTGGCTATTCAGGCCATCTCGTGAACCACTTGCTTCCGACAAGTTTCGGAGCGAAGTCCGAATCTCCAACTTCTTCCAAGCTGCTTCCAAGTTAGCCTCATCTCTCGCGTTCTTGAACGCCACACTATCCAAGCTCGGTTGCACGCTCTTGTCGCCACCTTCGAGCACGGCGTCATAACAGTGTTGCTCGACGTTACTTTCCTTTCCCAGCGGCGACACATCAAAGGGAAGCCCAGTCTCTGAACATAGCCTCAAAATCGTCTCTGTGCACTTGCCTCACGTCACTGCGTCAACAACCGCCCGCAGCGCCGACCAAGGTGGCGGACGCATCGCAAGCAGGACGTCTGTATGCAGATCGCGGCTTGTGCGATGAGGAGCTTGGCGACGACGAGGCGCAATGTTGGCGACGGGTAGGCCACTAAGGTTACCTCGATTGGGAACCGTATCCCCCTTATTATACCCAAGGGTACAGAATGATGTCGGAAGGCCCCTCTGCAGATTCCAGATCATTGTCGATGAGCTGATCTCATCTCAAGATGATCTCGATATCTGATCAGATAAGATCATCTCACGACTTATCTAAATGAATCATAACGCGATTCGATCACCCATGCCTCCAGTGCATCCGAGCTTAAGGTCCACTGCCTCCCCAACCCAGTCTTTCTTCATCACGCACCCCCGCCATGCCGTCGTACCCTTATCCTCCCTCACCGTATTCCGCTGCATACTGGTCTCAATCTCAAGATCAAAATTACAGAATCAGTCTCCAGTTGCCCCCAACCCGCCCGCACGTTGTCTTTACCTATACGGGGCACACCAGTACGGACAACGTCTTCACTGACATCTTGCCAAACCGAACCTCTTTCGTCGCATGGGATTCTTTTGCCTCCGCTGTTCAACAAGCCAGGGATGACAATGCCGAACACAACACTAATTTGTCGTCTGAAGAATTGCTACAGGTGATGGGCACATTCGTAGGCGCTCATGTAAACCTCACCGGGCAAGTGGAAATCACAGACGAGGCCTCTGTCTCCGGCCTCGTTTACGACGCCTATTGTTCCGTCGCAGCAATCCACCGACTTCTGGACAGCGCGAATACAAGACTTCGAACCGCCCATCGCGCAAAGTTACCTTCCGCCTTGTTTCGTTTCGGCGGTTCCCCAACAATCGACTTCGTTTTCATGGTTTCGGACCTCCTCCTCGCTGATGTCCGGTCTCGCCATCGCCTCGTGGCCGTTGAAGTCAAAAGAGCCAGATTCCCGCTCACTGCCAGGGGTGTGGTACCCAACACCCCCGCCCATCTAGCTGAGCTACATAACACAGACTACAAAAGTGGCGCACCGGCGTGGTACATCAGAATGATGTCACAGGCTCTTACATATGCGATGCACACCAAGAACGGATGTGTTATCGTAACAAATCACAACCACGCCATGTTCATGAAGATTGAACCCACGCAGAACCACACCGATATATGGAAGCTCCAGGTGAAGGTTTCCAAACTCTACAAATGCAACGCTCCGGCCAGCTCCTTCCACGCTGTTCTGGCCATTCTACGAAAGAGCATTGCGGCCGAAGATATATCCTCCTCCTTGAAAGACGCTTTCAGACAGTTGCAAGGTCAACGTCTCCCCGCTCGGCGTACTCGTAGTCAGACCAGATCTGCCACATTGCCCCGGGGAAGGTCCCTGAGGTCTGCGAGCCGTCGTTCTGGTTCTGCCTCTTCCACGGCGCCTCCTGTCCGTACAGTACATGACGCAACTCCTCAGCCTCAACATGTCGACTCTGCTGCTGAAACCGTGCTCGCGTCGCTCTACCAGCCACAGCTCATTCGCGAACTGATGGAAAGTTCTGACAACATCATCACGGCTGACGGACACTCAGCTGTCTTGCGTAGCCGGTACAATGAGCTGGACGTAGCCGTGAAGTATTGGAACTGCGCCACGAGGCTTGGTCTACGGATGCTATTGAACGAGATTGACGTGTACGAGGAAGTGGTGTCGAAACACTCACACTTGCTGGGCACAGTGTTGCCTCGCCTCGTTGCTCTTTGGAAGCAGCCGCCGACAGACGCTGTGATTGTCTCAGAATACGTCGGGGAAGCTTTGACAAGGCGGACTGACAGTTCCGCAAAAACGGAACTACTCCTTGGAAGCAAAGTGTTGGATACTAATGACTGTCGCCTCCTTCAAGATGCCGCTTTCGAGGCGCTTGAAAAGCTTCACAGCACTGGGCTGCGGCATAGGGACGTGCACGAAAGGAACATCAGAGCAACGCGTGAGGTGGGTGAACGGGGTGATGTCATATGGAAGGTATGGTTCATTGACCTTGGCCTTGCTTCCCTTTCCGGAAACTTGGATGAAGCCGCACAAGATGAAGATGAGCTCTGGAGGGCCACGTACTACAGTGGTCCCGCGCTATAAAAACCACCCCGTGCATTCGTCCTTGGAGTGTTTCTTATCAAGGCGTGTCTCTCAAAGCGCCGGCCAATCATATCTTCATTCTTTAATTTTTTTCAAAAATAAAGAATGAATAGCGCTCGTACGCATTTTTGCTCCCAGATCTCATCCCTCGGACGAACCCCTGTGTCGCAGACCTCAGCGTGTCTCTTACCGAGGCGTGTTTAATAAAGATGGGTTTAATATCGCGGGACCACTGTACTCGGGAAACGACGCGGAGTGACGAAAAGCTCGATCTCTGTAATGCACCGCTTTCCGATAACTACTGTAAGAACGAAACCTTGTTTTTGTCTCCTGCATAACTCCTTCGATGAAGCTGTCGACATCGACATCGACAGCTTCCTTAACTTTCCTTGCACATCCTTGTCTATCGTCCAGTGTGCTGCGCATGTAGCGCAAATAGACATGAAGCTGCCTTAGGGCTCAGTCAAACAAGCGGCAGAGAAATCTCACCAATTCACGGGCTTCACAAAGCGTAGCCCATTCTTGCCTGCGCGACTGTCCCGTCCTGATGGCCACAGTTGATCTTTTCTTTATCCACGTCTCCCCGTTAACTCGTGATAGGCCAGTAGCTCCGCAGCAAAGCATTTAGGGACCGAGCGCACACAATGGACCACAACTCTGCATTTTGGAGATGTTCACTTATCTTCAACCTCTTGGCACATGCTCTAGTCTTTTGTGGTCAGCCGATAAAAACCTTTTTTGAGGGTGTTGGAGTATTTGCTTTAGTCGTGTTCTTTGCAGGTAAATACCGCAATGTCATTACGAGACAAGTGCTTTCACTTCACATTTCATGATCAAACTCAAATCACAGGCTTGCAACGAAATTTCTTAGTTTTGTGTCATTTTTCAGGATTTCGCGAATGACCGGGCACATATTCGGACCTTGTGAGAAGCTACCAACACTAAGAATAATATAATCTCCTCCGCAGAAGCTTTTTTACGTGTTCATATATGTACAATCATAGTAAAGAAGGCCCGACGCCGAACTGATACCTTTCAAATACCGACTGCGGTAAGAGCAATCATCATGGTATCGCAGTTTGACTCTGTGTCCTATTTCGCTTTTGTCTCAAGTTCATTCTCGGTAGTAAAAGTGGCCCCGCCTCCGATAATACCCCTAGTAGCAACCCATTTCAGTGCTTTAATGGAGTTAGATTCGAACTCAGAGAGATCTGGCTCTCAGAAACCTATGCGGTTTGATTCCACAGTTGCGTTCGATATCGCGAAAAAGGATCTGGACGTGGTACGTTAAGAACGGCAAGCGATTCCATGCGTTCTCTATTCAACTTTTCATCACAAAGCAATACTGACGAGAACTGTTTGCATACGCAGGAGGCTTCCCCAAACTGTGACATCCCGGAAATCGTGGCAGCGATTGAGAATGAGACCATGTCAATATTTCGCGGATGGCAGAGTTTTTGCGTTCTGGTTCTGAATCGCAACGCACAGTTATTCTTTTCGAGCTTGAGCACATGCTCGATATTTGCTTTGAAGAGACTATAAAATGCTTGCTTCCTGTTCTTTGTGATAGAATAGGTGACTGGTCCATCGAACTTCATATTTCTGCAGCCGAGGCTCTGGTCAATGTCATGCAAAAACCGATACTGAAGCGCATTTCAAAGCTTATATGCGAGGCAGCATTCCAAATCGTCACAAGATCAATGAGTAGTGACATCTTTGAAGCCTGGGGAGAGATACTGTTCGTTGTCCTGCCGAATGTTCAGTGGGACGGCAACTACGAAATTTCTTCTGTAATCGCTATTCTCGATGACTTCACTTTGTCCTCAGACGAAATTTGCAGAAACCTCGTTGCTCGGGTACTAGGTTCTCTTTCAGCATGTTTGAGTATGGCTGAAATTGAGTCTTATGTGCTCAATCGGGCCTTGCATCTAGCAGATGACTCTGATACTGACGTTCGTGGAATTGTTGCAGAGTCATTGGCATTCATTGGAGATGTGGTG